GTCTTAAATATAAGTAAGTCCCGAAGGCATGTTGTCCTAAAGTTTTCTCATTAGAAGCTGATAAAACCTTTGCTATGTAGCCTCGACTTAAGTTAACGCTCGTTATATTAAGCTAACAATACTTGAGTTGTTTGCTATCATTAGCTTCTTTGCTAAAGGTGCGGTTAGGTACTTAAAAGATTATTTTATGGATAGTATTGAGGCAGCACACATATTGCAGAGGAAGAGGTAATGTAATACCCCTTTCATATTTTCTGCATCGTCATATCAAGAGTATCATAATAAGTAAACAAATGTAACAAATACTCAAGTGAATGCTCTTAATTAACCATACAAATTGCCCACATGAAAACCATCAAGTCTTTCCTCAGTATAGTATTTCATATTACTCTGCTGTGTCCTCGTCTTCACAGCTTTTTGTCATTCTCATGAAGAGTCAGAACTGACCTTTTGCCAGGATGGAGGTGGCCCTGTCTGCCCCGCAGTTACTCCCAGAGCCCCAGAGGAGGGGGACACCTTTGCCTCTGAGCCAGCTGGTGGAGGAGAGCAGGAGCAATGCCAGCATCCCCAATCATTTACTGGAATCAAGTACTGTACATATTAAGCATAACCTCTGAAACCCTCTGATATACTGCATTAATACTGCTTTTTCTTCCTGCAGTGATATCAAATATTTAATCTTACAGCAATGCTCAACTTATAACTATACAACTAATCTATGTGTGACAAAGCTACAAGGCCCATTGGCTTTAATTGTGTTGCAGTTACTGGACAAGGGTATATTTTCTCTTTTGTCACCTTACATTGCTGCTTACTTTGGGTTTAATATAGCTTATGTTTATGATTTAAACATTTTTAGGAGTGGAAAACATTTTTGCAGACGTTAAAAGCTTGCATTCAAATAGTTTGTTATGCTTTTTCAGTAACAGATTATTTTTTACTTATAGAAATTTATGCCAAACTGAAAAGCAACAGCTTGATCCAAGCAGAGCCGTCAGAGCTTCATTTCAGTGGGTTTGAGCTGGGGAAGGATTACATAAAGATCCTGGTGAGGAAAATACAACTGGTTTTAATATCTTTTGAGTTTTTACCATTAGTTACCTGTATTGCAGTTTTCTATTCGTGGTCTACACTGGATAGCTGATTTATTGATTGTGAGTTAAAGGTGCATTAACTAAGATTTTAAATAGTCTGATAAATCAAATGAATATGAGATAGGATGTGGTGTTTCTCCACAAAACTACATCCCTAGTTTCTAAAATTTACCATCATAAATCCTTATCATTTGCTTTCTTCATCAAAGATAATTTTGATTTAATTGAATGGCCACAGATTTTACCTCCTACTGCCCAATGAAGCAATGTAGACTGGATGTCAGCATCAGATATGGAAATAGTTTTCTCAAGTGCACATGATTGGATGGAAATTATGGAATTATTCTTTTCTTTCCTCTCTTCCTCCTCTTCAGAAACTAATCAACATCTCATCTGAAGTTATGAATATTCATATCATTCCCACCCAAACTAAGCACTTCCAAACAACTTATACCAAAAAGGTATTTTTTTTATTACAAATTGCTAACTTGAGTATAAATTAATGACTCCACACCATGTTTATTAGCGCAATCAGTGTTGTTTCTGATGATTCTGCCTTGTTCCACGTGTTTTTCTTTTAGTATCGACTCATCCCAGGCCTCGCCTACACACTGAAGGTCAGATTTTGGCCTGATGAATGGCGTTACTTCTATGACTGCGTTCGGGTTCACTGCAAGGTAAGGAGCGTTTAACATGCAGTGCAGCAAACAGTCAACAGAACAATTTTTAGCTGCTTTAACTTGTCTTTTGAGGAAATGTTCCCATGTTTATTTATCCTGTCTCATCTCTGTGCTTCTGTCACCTTGCAAAACCTCAGTTTCATGTTTTCCCTCCACCTTGTTGATTCAACCTGTCTATACCCTTTCTAAGGGGGAAGAGAACTTGTTAATCCCAGTTCATGCTTACCCTGTCATCGATGACCTGCACATCCCTCCTCATATCGACCTATCAGCTGTCCCACTTGGACAAAGGTGTGTGTGCTGTACAGCATGTGCGTTGAGATTCATGGCAGTTTTTTTGACCTCCTAATTCCCTGAGGACTTCTTTCTTTTTATTCTTCCATACATCCAGCCATGCTTCCATTTATCCATTTGTGTCAGATCATAAAAAACTCATCCCCCTTTTTCTGGCTGTCTCTAGTGTAAGCCATGCTATTCCGCTGAGATGCAGCAGTCCTCTTGACTTTGAGTTCCAAGTGTATGTTATTCAGCCTCACGAGGCCTTCTCTGTCCATCCCCTCACAGGTAGGGACCAGTGAAATTCTTTGATTTAACATCAAAAATCATGACAAGTTGAGAATGAAACGTGTTTTTATATCGCATTTTACATTATTTTTACTCAGTTTTGGTTGAGTTACCACGGATTTAGTGATTAAAGATAACCTGTTGGCATTCTGACTTTAAATAGATAAAAGCCATTTTTTGTTTGATAGTACTCATTTAGCTTACTGGGACATGACCCATCTGGAGAGCAGGAGTTCTGTGTTTTCTCAAAATGTTGCTCTGGTATCTTTTGTGTATTAAATATGTCACTACTGACACGCTGATACTAAACAGCAGTATTCATGCTTGGTAAAACCTCATAACACATAGCGGAAAAACCACTTGAGATCTGAAATACAGCTGCAGTTTTAATTTGGAACAAATCTGGAGTGAGGAAAAAGTGATACAAATGAGTTTCTCATTTGGGAATTGTCATAGCAGTCCACAGTGGCAATTCAGCGCATGTGTTGTTTTTTGGTGCACTAATTATCATGCTCTCTGTAACCCATCAGTCATTTTTAGGTTCAGTCATCACTCATAACCCCAGAATGTTAGTTTTGTAGTTCTTATCACAGTTTGCTGGATAAGCTACACCAGTTGTTCTTAGCCTTTTTTGTTTGTTGTACTCCCACCTTTATTTTTTAATTTGTTTATCCATTACTAGTAGCTAACCAAATCAGCTGTTTATTGTTCCATTACTTTATCTGCTGCTTTTAGCAATTTTAGTTTTTTTAATCTAATACTTTTAACTTATTGTTTCAGCTGTTTATAAATTACTTTTTGCTAACTACTTTAAGTGTTTATCCATTGCTTTTAGCTAACAGTTTCACTTAGTTATCCAATACTGTAAACTAACTACCTATTTAAACATTTTAATTAACTATTTTTAGCTCACAATTTAAACTTTTTATCTAGTACTTTTAGCTGACTATTTCAAGTTCTGCTTACCTTGCTAACTAGTTTCCATTAACTTTCTGTGGCAACACATAGTGCTTAGTCACATCTGACTTAGTTTGGGTGAAATGTGGCCTGCACATACAGCCAGTCATAGTTAGTATGCTACTACACCCCTGAATGGGAATAACCGACCTTAGGCAAGTCCTGTACATACACACATCATTTCATCCCTGTTGTTTTATCTTTGCTCCTCCAGGTGTGATACCCGCCAATGGTGAGGTGAAGATCATGGTGACCTTCAGTCCTTTGCAGTACGAGACGTCTCAGGTCACCATCCAGCTGGTCATCGCACAGTTCAACACCAAACCCTACCTGTGTACTATCACTGGGAGCTCCGCCCCTCACCTGGCTCTCAGGTAATTAAAAAAATGGATTGTTTTGTTGAAAACATCTAGACCAGGATCTCCACTAACAGTCGCATGAACTGAGCCACTAGAGATCATTTTGTTTTCCCTCTGCTGCAGGACATCTTACTGCCTTATTACGCTCTTTTATCTGACTATGCTATCTTATACTATAATAAATATAGTATTTTCTTACTTCAGGTTTACACCCATTCTCTGGGTTTTACTGACATTCTGTAAGAAAGCTTCAGCCTAAGTAGAATCACACACGCTTGTTTGAATGTATAAGCTTGTCAGTTCATGTATGCAACTCATTTAGTTCTTCCCTATGGTGCTTCACATTGTTTGAAGTAAAGTCTTTCCCTCTCCTCCTGTTCAGCATCAACAGCTTTCAGATAGTATGGGCAAACCAGTATTGGATAAAAAACATGCACCAAGCTCGATAAAGAGAAAACTGCCTTGGGAAGTTCCCTGACTAGAATCTGTTTTTTAGCCAGTATGAAATCTAATGTTTAATTCTGTTCCCATGAGAAAGAGGGTGCTATCCATCACACAGCCCTAGCTCCATCCACTGCACTATCATGGCGTTATCTCGACCAAAAGTTAATAATTCATGAAAATAGCTTGGTAGCTGGTGCAGTGATATCAGGACAGATAAGCCTCCCAATGGATGTTTAGCATATAAAACATTCTCACCCTGTTTGTTGTTCCCTGCAGTGGAACCAAGCAAATGATGAGATATGTGCAAATGAAATACCGTACAGTATGTGCTAGAACCTGTTTTTTGCTAGCTTGAACCAATGCCTGACACATCTCTGTTGCTGGGTGTCCTTTACCTGGCTTATCTGACATAGACTATTTTTAAAATAAACAAATCATGATCAAAATGACTTTGCCTCTGTGTTGTATTTTCCATCAGTCTAATGCAATCTAATGTAAGCACCCTGCAATAAATCCTTAAATAAATCCAGTAAACCTTTGACACAGTGTTAGAGAGGTGTTGAGTCAACTATTCAGTCAAACTCTATAAGGCTATAGCTAGTGATATTGTTGTATTGGATGTATTATTATATAGAGAAGTGCTTTTAATATTTTGCTCAGCCACATATAAAATTGCATTTTTAGTTATTTATTTCTCTGCAGAATACAAAGGACCTTCCTCTGCCGCCCAAGTGCCTCCTCGAAGTAAAACCAAACACAGGTCAACCAAGGAGTCAAAGGTAGTGTGTTTGTCGAATTAGAGGGATGTTCTTCTTAGTCCTGACTCATTTCTCAGTATCTAAAAGACTAGTTGGTGGAGTTAATAAAATCATTCCTATGCTGAAAATAGTTGTGAGAAGTTCTGTTCTCTTTCATGAAAAATGTAAAGGGCTTTATTTAAGTACAAGGTACCTTTTAATCTATTGCATTCATAAATTCATTTTCACTTTCAATTTGATTAAGGACACAAGAGAAGAACAGACTTATTCTTCCATAGAAATGTTATTTAATTTTAGGCAGCTGTTTTCCCCAATTAGAAAACGAGTGATAATTTGGTACATTCATTCTGTACAACAATACTTTGATCTTTCATTTTTGCAATAATTTCTTGAAGTGGCATGTTTTATCCTTCATATCTTGCTGTTATGTTTTTTTTTTACCTGTCCTCTAGACACTGAGAGTTCAACCTGGGCTGACTCCAGTGGATGTCTGCACCCCTGCAGGGGTGGCAAAGATGCTGATTAAAGACAGCAATAAAATCAGCTCTAAAGCCCTGAAGGAAGGTAGATGCAACCCACTGATTTTAGTCCTTAAGCTGTCATGGAGTTTATGTGTCATTCATGTCACCTCATCAAACCTCTTGCTCTATGTTATACTGTACACACATGAACTATGTTGCATTAGGGTCCTGCTATATTCTCCTTTGAACAAGTTGGTGTCATTAAGTAAATTGCATTTGCAAGGTATGCATCTTGTCTCTTGTATTGATGGTATTCCCTTCACTTCAGCTATGTCCTCTGGCTGTATGGTTGGTCTGCAAAACAAGCAGGTGAAGGAGGCTCTCTTCATAAAAAGGGTTCAACAAACTGTGAAGGAGGAGCAGGCCAAACACATTAAATGGTAGGTTTAACTACTAAATACAATTTCAATTTTTATCCTTGTGAATGTTTGGATAGTTGACTTTCTATCTCCATGTGCACAAACTAATGTTAGAACTGTGACAAGCTAAGATAAGAATGGAAGATTTGGGAATCTGCTTAACAAATCTCCAAAGGGGAGATACTTTATGTACAGTAGAAGAATAAATACAACTACTGCATCTAGTTTCTGGGGAAAATACACATAGAAAATAGAGATGCATCATTTTATTACAGCAGTTAAATAAGCTAGAGTAAATATCAGTGACATCAAAATGATTGAGAGGATTTGATAAAGACGATGCTTCATTTAACCATATGTTTTGGTTTAGCTCAATGTTCAGTACGTTCTGGGAAAAAGTATTAGACAAACTGAAATTGAATAGAAAGCCTTTTTAAGAGTAATTAATATCTATTGCCTTCATTCAGGAAAGTTCATCTGGGCAAGGACCCCATGCTAGAGCAAACCAGGAGGCAGATAGTGGAGGAGAGAGAGATTGCACTACATGAATACATGGTAAGGTTTTTCACTTAAAGTCTACATAGTGAAACAATGCAATCATTCATATTCTTGCAACGTGTTGCTAGTCATTTTACAGGCGTGATGCATGCACCGCACACCGTATCTTTGCTATATGTCTCCAGGCACCACCTTCAACTTTCCTGGGCCCCTGTAATTTAAAGTGCATCTAATATAGAGCTCAAATCTAAATTTGCCACTGCATTATATGTTTAACTGTTCTATGACTGACTTCAGGTCCTTGAGGGGCTGCATTGATTTACAAATACAGTTTGAATGAACAAAAACCTGCAGGACACTGACCTTCAAGACCTGGAATTGAAACTGGAATATCCTAACCTGTTTCAGTTTTAGCATCATTGGCTCTACACTGTTGTTTTGATTTTATCAAGAGTCTCTGGGGAAATATGCAGACTCGGCCAAAGCAACATCAGGTTTGAAACAGTCTGTGTTCCTGTGTGTCCCCAGAAAAGATATCTGAATAGTTGACAGGGCTCTCACAGACATTTAACCGTACTTCCTCCTCCATCTTCTCTCCACCTGCACTGTTAATAATGCACAAGCACACACACACAGACGCATTCTCTGCCTTGCACGCTCCATTTACAGCCTCATGTCCTATACACTTTGGGAGTGCTCGTGTTTTTTATGATAGAAGGAGCTACTATCTGACTTGACAGGCCAGAACTTAAATTATCCAGCAGGTGATATGGTTTACAGCTTTGTGACACTGTTTTCATCACCCAGTCTATGTTGCTTTAGAACTGGGAAAGTGAAATGAATTCAGATTTTTGTGATACCTTGAAATATCATTACTATAAATAAATGAGATCATGCTTCGAGACGCTGGTAGTAGTTGATTCACTGAATTAAGACATGCCCTATCAAGCTTACTTTCTCTTGTGACAAACAGTGTTGCTTCTTCAGCCAAAGTATTTCAAGTTTTCTTTCTATAGAAGGTAAACATGAATGATTTTTTTCCCACTGGCCTTGCACTATCTGTCATTAGCAGAACTCTGAAGGGGATAGCAAAAATAGAAAGAGCAGCTAGCTTCTACTTCTGTTTTTATACCATGTATCAATCAAACATTCTGCAGATTACATTTTTACCTGCAGGTACCCAACCTGTGCAGGACTCTGCTTTACCAGCTTTTATCATGCTGTGCTATGCTAATTTGTTGTAGGTAAAAAGGGGAGATGTAAGGCAGGAGGAAGACTTTGCTGCTGGACCACCTAAACTGTTCTCCAGAAGGGTGCTTTGTGACGCAGGGCAGGTCAGTCTTTCACCCACGGAACGTTCCACAGTATACTTTGCTGATAACAGGAAAATCAAGAACTCCCCACAGGAGGATGGTTGTTTGACTTATTGCTTTCAGATAGCTGTAGTGTTGGAGTGGGTGTTCCACCACTACCTAGAATAACTTTGCAACTTTCAGCCCTTAGTAAAATGTTAGACAGCACAATTTCTCTCACTTACACGCAAGGTTCAGTTCAGGTGTAAAATATTTATAGTTTGTCTTGGTAAATGCACAGATAACCCTCTACCATGTCACAAAACATCTAGGTGATGCATAGCTCCCAGAGTTCTCAGATTAAATGTATCTGTTGCTTTTGGCTGGAGATTTTCTGCAGTGTAATTCAAACTACCTTTCACTTTTTACTGCCCTACTATCTTTTATCCTTTTAATACTCCAAGGTGAGACCTCAAGACATTTCACATTATGGTTCCTTTCATATGCATCAAGGTAATGATTTCAAATGAGCACATAAAAGGCAGAAATACATTTCTTTCTGGTCTCTTCTAGGCGCCAGCGGGAGCCCCATCATTCCAGTTTTACTCCAGTTTTCAATGGGAGCTGAAACAAAGAGCCCTCAAACTGTTCCAACAGGCAGCACGCAAGGTACACATATCTTAGTGCTTTAAAGTCACTGAGGCATTTGCTTAGACATAAACACATCATAGACATACACACAGGGTTAGAGGTCTTTCATCACCATGTTTACCATATTAAACACTCTGTTTAGGTTATGAAGCGGTCAAAGTACAAGAATAGAACAACTGTATTGTATGTGCCAATTGCTTAGCAATCTTTATTGCTGTCCACTTACTTTTTGTTTTTTGTTATTTATGTGTAACTATGTTAAAAGCCTCACTGAAGTGTCACCATGGAAGAAACATGTAAAATAGTTTTCTGACAGATTTTTTGGAACTACTACACAGATGTCAGGTGTAACTAACCAGGAAGTGACACTGTGCCCCTCTTTCCCAGGTTGTGAACCGGTGTCGCATGAACCGGAGGCTGGCCTGTTTGAAGAAACTGGCAGACAGTATGAGGAACCCGCCTTCAGCAGACAGAGGTTTTCATTATCCTGTGAACTCCTGGTTCAGAAATAATCTTGTTTCTTATTTGAATATGTTGCTAGAGGTGAAATTGAAGTAAAATTCATTGAGGTTATTATGACAAGGCTGTTAATGGTGCATTGTGCTTTTAGTCATGCACTGAATATTACAACATTTCTCACTGAACTTTAAAAACAACAGATGTAACTTTTTCCACTGTATTATTACTTCTCTTTTCCTATGTTTGCTTCAGTTGAGGAGGAGAAGACATATGATCTTGAGATCGAACCGGACAAAGTTTCTCCATTCTCTTTCCCCATTTTCTCTGATGTACATGACCCACTGGTGAGTACATTCTCAAACTGTAAAATTTCAGTCCTGCTGCAGATAATTGCTGTTAGCTGCAATGTCAAAGAACGTTAATCGTAGTCTGTTAACATGAGTTTGTTTATTTTGCAAATCACGTTGCTTGTTAAAGCTTATTGAGTTGAAATGTTAATATACCTAAATGAAAGCTGACACACAAAAGATGAGAAATCACTGACAGGTCAGTGCCGGCTACTGTTGTGCATATGAAACAGTTTTCATTCATTATTTCCCTTGAAAGACATTTTTGGTCAGTTTTCTCACACATGGATTAAATCTTTTATTACCCTGATGCCCTGCAGAGTAAAGACCTCGGTGTTCAACTGGACAAATAATGCCATTTGTCTTCTTGATATTTCTAGGCTTGCATTGATTTGGTTGAGGAGCCTGTGGATCCTATTGAAGTGACTGTAAAACCACGTATTCCTCTCGTCAAGGTTCAGGTTGGTATTTATTGCAGCACCTACTCATCTAAATATCACACTAATAAATCAATGCGAATACGTATCTGTCAGCAGTGATCGAAAGTTAAGTACAAGTAAAATGTTGATGTACTTTACCTGAATATTTCCATTTATGCTACTTTATACTTAATTCACTACACTTGTAGTAATAATACTTATACTTAAGTAAATGATCTGAGTACTACCTCCACCACTGCCTAATGGGCGTAATCGATAAAGATGTCACAATTTAGAAATACTTTCATTGTATTCTGTTAGTGACATTCTGTTGTACTTTTTATACTCTAAAACTATGGCCTTATATTTCAATATCTGTGAAATAAATGATAAGAGATTGAAATGATCATTTGCTTGTAGTGTTTGGTTCTGCTCTGCTGGTTCCTATAAGTAAGTGTACAAATAAATTCTCTTATCTGTTGTGGTATTATATTACCACTATAACCATGTTATCTGTTGGTGTTGTTTTGGCACTCTAGGTTCCTCAGCAATATAAGCTCATGGGCTACCGCCCCGTGTCAACCTGGGATGCATTTAACTCTTACATCCCCACTACTTTGGCTCGACCACTTCGCACTGGACCTCCAGTAACTACTGTATGCAGCACCTGCCCTAAGACATACACCTTTAGCCAGTACTATGGAAAGATAATGTTTATAATATGTCATCTATACCTACTATAATTTGACTGATTCCTTCTGATCTCAATATGTTTTTCCTTCCTGTTTCAACAGGCTGAAAATGAGAAAGAGGCTCAAGGAGCAGAGGTGGCACCTGGTCTCACCTTCAGTGCTCCTGAAGGTTTGCTTAGGCCGCCTGCTGCAAACCCACTCAGAATCTTTGTAAGTCTCCTCATTCATGTTTTCTCTTCCACACACACCTGTGTGTTTTCCATACATGGCAGTATAAAGGATTTAAACTAGTATATTTCTATGTTTATCTCATACTGTGCTTATCATATCACAGAACCCAGTTCCAGGCCTGCAAGCTTACAAAACGACCCCTAAATACCTGGATGGTGATTTGGAGGTCCACCTCTGCCCTCTGCCCAGGTAACAGCGGTGGTATGTTGTGTGAAGATTCACAGCTGAAGTCAGAAGATTACTAAATAAATATTTATGGTTTAATGTACTGCAAATCTAAAAATAACATAAATAAATAAAAGCTGGAGAACTATTTTTCAAATTGAGTGCTGGCATTTTAAAGATACCACTTTTGGATACATTAGTTGTTTTCTGACCAAGGAATTGTTTTGAGAAAAATCTTTGGATTATGTCCAGTAAACAAACAAACAAAAAACATCTGCGTCATGACAAAAGAGTAAATAGTTCCAAGACTGGTGATCTGCTCTCTTGCCAAAGAAAGTGCTTTCTGTATCCAGGTTTACAGTCCCTGAGAGCAGCATGAGAGGCATACGGACACAAACATCACAAACTCAGAGAAAGTTTCTTGACCGCAAGGTAATCATGTTTCTGAGACTTTGCAGTGGTTGAGGTTCATTGAAATGCTTTTAGTCTTATCCTTTGAGCACTTGAGCCTGGTTTTGACCATTTTTGGTGAGGCATACTGTACAAAGAAACATTTTGCTGCTGAACTAAAGTGCTTTATAATTTTAAATAGACATTTTCTAAAGATGAGCAATCCCCCTTCAGTTGGACATTCATCTTCTGAAACTAGCTCCTGTTTTATATTAGATTTGTTTGATCAGATGCATACTGTATGTGGCTTTTTCCCTGACCATTAACAGGAAGTGATCAAAGGGGTCATGACCTGGAAGGATTTTGATTCCATCACACAGAACTGTCTGTCCACTCAGCCTGCTCTCCCCAATGACTGTGCACTGCGCAGGTATGTCAGAAATCAATGGGTTTGTGCTTTGCTTGGACTGAAAGTGTTGTTAGAACTGGACCCTAACAGAGCTGCATTACATTGTGAGCTGGCTGGGAAATGCCTTTTACCTTCCTGTCTCTTTAGTTGTAGAACAGATTTTAGTTACAGCTTTGATGTTAACTGACATAAATAAATTATGATCTACAGTTGGAGTTTATTATTTTTTATTGCCACTACATCACTGTGTACTGTTTCAAGCTGGACCAGTTCCTATTTTCCTCCCTTTGCCTAACAGTGCAATAAAAACAACTTGTTGTTGGGAGCGGCCACCTAGAGGTTAAAAGGGCTGGTGTAGTCACACAAGGAATCCCATGGTAAATCATCCCCATGTGTGGTTAGTTGCTGAGAAGCTCCAGCTGGAGTACTGCTGCCTCAAAACATATTCCTGCATGTTTACACCACTTGTTTACATAGTTGAGAGTGGCTTTGTTCACTTCTACTGTCCATATTTTTCCATCCTGCAGGGGTATTTAGACTTAAGACCCTCTGGTCTGCCAGATTTGACCACTGTCAGAAGTACAATTTTCAAAAGTTGGGATGTATGTATCTCATTGTTGGTAAAATTAACAGCAGATAATCTTTTCCTGATATTCTTTGTTGTATAGTAGTCCTCTCTTCCCAAACACATACCAGTTTCCTAATATTTTACAGTTATTAATAAGATAATCTGATTAATTCCCAATAAAAGCAAATCATCCATTTCAGCACTAGTTACATTAAAAAGGTCCCTGTAACACAGACTGATATAATTGTTTTTTTTAATAATACTTTTATTGTATTTATGTGATTTGCCAAACACAGTACATATTTAAGTAATACGTCAGTGAGTAATACCAGGACTCGTAATCTAGCTGCTCTTCACCTTTTAATAGCTTGGGATTCCAGTTAATCTCACATATAATATCACAGAAACATGACTTCTCACACTCTCCCAAAATAAATATGTCTAGTATTAGCCATGGTCACATAGCTTCCAGCACCTGGCAGCTACTGTAGCTGGATGTCAAATTGTCTACTTGTAACCTATCCACTAGAATCCATTCCATATTCATGCAAATGGGGGAAACTCTATCAGTTGTATTTTGCACTTTCAGCAGTTAAAATATTGGATTTTAAGCATTGGTTCTGATTTCACCTAATTTTTATGAAATATGTGTTTTTACTGCCCATCCCATCAGGGTTTGTTTTGCAAAATATTTTCCAGAGCTCATCTCCCTCTGGTTTTGGTACCTTTGATTTCATCAAAACACTCTCCAAAATACAAAAGTTTCTTTTGATTTCAATGCAAATTACAATTTTTCAGTGGTTTTGGACTGAAGTGATGTGTTGATGTAGGGTGAGTTGATCTGCCTTAGTTCAAGTTTGTTCTACTTATATTAAGAAAAATAGAACTGTAGTGACCTACTCAATGCATTTGCAGAATCTAGGTCATATGGAGGCAAAGAATCCAGCACACTGTCTCCACTTACACAGTGAAATAATGATTTATTCAGTCTTGAGCCTAAATGGATAGTGAATAAATGATGATATTGTGATGTAGTGTATTAATGAACTCAACATGGAGCCGTCCTGTTCTATTTGTGGTGCACCCTGTCACAATGAATACAACCTGGGTAAGCAAAACACTTTCTGTCTATGGCCCTTTCTTAGAAAATAATCTCAAAGAATGTCACTTTCGACTTTTCCCGTTTAGGGGTCGCCACAGTGAATTGTCACACTGACAACTCTGGCACGTGTTTTACGCCGGATGCCCTTCCTGACGCAACCCTGATTCGAACCCAGCGCTCTCGCCGCTGCGCCTTAACCACTAGCCTACCAGAAAATAATCTCATGTATTTTATAATTCATCTTGCATGATAGAAAGTTTTTGTTTTAAATGATTTAAGTAACAAAGTGGAGGTTACAGCGCTAATGAAGCAGTTTTTTCAACAGTGTGAGAGCTGAAGCCAATCTGAGTCTTTAACAAGATGTCCATGTAATTTGGACAAGCCACTGTTCACATGAGAAACTTGTGAATGTGTGATTTGATTGTAGTTCTGTTACAACTCTCACCTCACCTTTCTGTCTGCTTCATATCTCCCCTTACCTCCCCTATCTTACATAACCAGATATTTGTATTCTGCCAAGTATTTTCTTTATGCCTGTTGTGACGGTGCTGTTAGCACTGATCCGATATATTCTTCTTTTTTCATGCAAGAGCTGACTTTACCCCAGCCTCGCTGTTCAGTCTTATTAATTTTTATCACTGCCTCGCTGGATCTTTGTCAGGTGGCCATAATAGAGGATGAGAATAAACTTGACAGCAGGAAATAGTATGAGTTTTCCTAATGATTTTCAAATAGGTCCAGGTCATGACACCTTCATTTGAGCAGTGCAATTGCATGTGGATTTGACCATGTGTTCCCACGCCCCCTAGACTATATATAAAGGGTGTGTGAAAAGTACCTAGACATTAAAAATTGGCTATAGAACTTGTAGTATCACTGGAGTCATGATGAAAACAGTCTCTAAATAGATGATAGTAAATAGGATTTCATATGAAATGGAAAAAAAGGTAATTAAAAACAAAAAAATTATGCAAATGTGTGTGGACTGAGGTGTCCACATACTTTTAGCCATATTGTGTATCTGTTGGATGAAGACAAGCTGATATCAGCCTTCTCATCTGAAGGAGATTTCTTTTTATCTCCAAAAATGCTATGTTGTCTCTCTAATATCATATGAAATCCTATTTACTATTGTCTATTTAGAGACAGTTTTCATCATGACTCCAGTGATAGTACAAGTTCTACAGACAATTTTTAATGCCTAGTTACTTTACACCCACCCTGTACAATCTGTGCCATGCCCCAGCATTAATAAAGTTTTATTTCAGAGGGATATCACAGCTTTTATCAGGGTTGCTTACAAAAGCAAACCTGTGGCTTGTCAGTGTTTAAAATCCCATAAGTGGTATCAGTTTTCATGCAGGAGCACTTTTATCATTCTTCTTCAAGCTGAGATTTAAAACAACCCTAAGGAGTGCTTTCACCTACAGTAAGTAAAATGGTGTAGATTATCTCAGGCTGGTAATGTGTGTGTGTGTCTCCCATAGGTCTGTCGACTACAGCACAGATATACTTCCACTCACAGCACCTCCTTTTCTAACTGCTCTTCCTGATGATCTGAAACTTCTAACGGACAAGCTGTAAGCACATACGACACTGCGGACACTATTGGTCTTCTTGTTGGAAAACTTTTCTGTCAGGTTTCAGGTGCGACCACTGCTGTCATGCTTACATTATGTATGTTTGTCTCTGCAGGTGTGAAGGCTTAGGAGTCCAACTCACACCGGAGATGATCAGAGCAGAGTTCTTGGCTGGAGAAGCTCTGGTTTCCAATAGCAACCTCACCACAGGAATGACAGCGAGGTAAGTCTACTAGCATGCATGTGTGTATTGCTAAGAAAATGATTACTCAGATTCACGATAATGTATACTTATTTATGTGATGGAATCATTGTTGTACCTCTAGTTTTAAGAGGGGAAGTCCTCAGGGTAAACCCAACATGATGTTAATGAATGTGCAAAGGCAAGATCCCAGAGGTCCTCCAGAGAAAAGCTTCCTTGGAGGTGGAACATATTGTACTGCATGATGCTTCTTTCTGACTTCTGTCATAGCAGTAAAATAGATCAATTAAAGTGCTCTAACTTGCTTTTGTTTGAAGTTTCAGCCTTGCATAATCCCAGCAGAGTCATAATTCATTCTTACCATGTACTATTAGCAAACTAATATAGGTTATGTTATACTGATGTAAATCACTAGCATCTTGTAGCACTTGATAATGCAGTTGTCAGGTATTGCAACAGCTACTTTAAATGTCATTGAAAACATCCTGGCCAGTGGATCTAATGTTTAATTAAACTTTTTCAACACTGATGAGGGAATACTTACATTAACTTATGAGTGACTTTTCAGATTAAAAGTAAAGATGTAGATGTAAATAAAAAGGAGTTGATTACATTTTAACCTTTTTAAGAGAGACATTTCATCATATTTTCAGTGGCAAATTATTATTACAAGATGTTTGACAATTTAATGCTGTTTGAACCTGTTTCTATCATGTCTATTTTATGTTTTCAACCATTTTTGAGGCTGCTGTATTACTTTTTTAGAAATTTAGAAAAACTCAGAGAAACATTGTATCACACTTTAAGAATTTTTTAAAATTTCAAATCAAAAAATGATGGCTGCCTTAGTTTGAAACTGTAAATCATATTTGGCCAAAATATGTGATTGCTAAGTGGAGGCTGTAGTGTACCGATCTTCCTATTCACTTCATAATTGTCTGTCATTGGTGATGTTAAATGACTCTGTTACAGGCACCAGAGGGAGCATCAGATGGAGACGACCTACTGGTCTGAGTTCAACCAGATGGGAAAAAGAGTGATGACCAGGCTGAAGCAACTTGGAGTCACTGACGGATGTTTGCATTCACCAGAAGAGGACAATGAATAGGCAAAAGACCACAAATACACACACACACACTGTATTTTCATTCCTTGCGGGGACTTTACAGTGACTTACTTTCATTTGCTGTAGACTTATCTTAACCTTAACCATAACCACTACTTGCCTGACACCTAACCCTGACCCTAACATTTAGCCTAATCCTAACCTCATCCTAACCCTAAATCATGTTGCCACCTTAAAATACTGTACTACTGACAGGTTGTGGATTCACTGGGATAGAGTCCAGTACAGCTGGTGTCTGCTCTCTCCCCTAGAGGGAGCTCCAGCTCTATGACTTTTACCATTAGAGGTGGTTTTCACATTTCTTTGTCCTTGAGTGAGTGTGTAGACTCATATAATGGCAGTGTGCTTTGGACTAATACAGTGAAAGCACAGTGCCTGTTTGACCCCCTTCTACCAAATCATACAGGCAGACTGTTTTTTTAGACATGAGGACTCACACAGGAAGCCTATAGCCATACTACTTCACTGTAAGAATACAGTGATGCGTGAAGCACAGGGCTCGTTTTCACTGCAGCTTAAATGTCATTAAGAAATGTATGTAATTTTATTTTTCTTCCTTTATATAGATTGAGACCTGTTATATAAGGTTCAAGGAAGCAATACTACTGGTACATATCAGTTAAAGCTGTGGCACTTTTAATAAACCATAGACAGAATAATGATAGTACCAGAAATGTGTATGTGACAGAGACAGTATATGTTTGATGTATGTGAAGAGACGGTTAGAGAGATGAAATAAAAAGATACAGTATAGCGGTATCCTCTGTCCTTCCCAGTTCTCTACTCCTGTCACAGTTTGTACAGTATAATGTATTCACCTAACAGTCAGCATTCACCATTCATTTTAAAAATACAGGATTTACTATGATGATTGTTTCACCCTGTGAATATAGGTTCTATTATTGTTTTTTCATCTTGATTGAAAGATGAGCTCTAACACAAATGCAATAGTGAAAACAGGAACAATTTTTCTTCAGCCAGCACAATTTGTGCAGCACCCCATGGCAATTAAATAGCACTGACGTGTTGACATGACTCAAACCATCCTCAAAAAATCTCCAAAAGGGGACAGAATCAAAGCAAGAGGTAATTAGTTAGACAGCATCTATTGCTGTTGGCAGTTATTTACAACTCCTGGGACACACCAGCAGCAACATCCATGACTGCAACTTTTAAAGTATTGTTTTTCTGTCCTTCCTAACACACTCCATCCCTCATTCACACTTACCACTCTTCCTCACTATTTACTTTTCACATTTCATAGAATTACTGCCAAACACTTCCTGGGTGAGAAATTGTGTTACAGTTTTGGTAGCCAGAGTCCATACCATTTACCTGAAATTCTTTTGTCTGGCAACCCCGCAACTTCTGTCAAAATCTGGTTCAATTTAGAGCAGTGTCTTTGGCGTGTCTCCTTGGAATGACTTCAAGAGACTTGAAGCATGCAGAATTTCTTTTAAAGTCAGATATAAAGCATAGACACTTGAGGCTATTTGAATAAGCCTGACTTGAGCAAACTAGTCTGGAGTCAGTTAAAACTTTCAGTTTTTTCTGCTCTGCACATGCACAGAATTACAGCGTTCAAAGAGAGCGGGAAAGAATAGTACTAGAATTGCAGTTCTTTGATAGTATTGATTGACTCCTCACCACATTGTAACTTAAAAGGCACTTTTCAAACCTGAAGTGGTTTTGCCACCTTGAGAAAATAAAAAGCCAGAGTCTAAGGGTCACAATTTAGTCTTTCTCACTCACACATGTGGTGTGAAAAGACCTTTTTTCTTGAAATGCCAAAGTCACCATCTCTCTATAGCCTGTAGCTTTTTTTTTCATGATCATGTGAAAATTGAGTGACCTCTAAGGGACTTGTATGGAGGTGCTGTGGTTTCTTTGTTTGACACACTTAGGCTCACGTTATTACTTGCTGAATGGAAAAGTAAAATGTGAATGAAGTTATTATGGTGTCATATCAGTAGTCCGTATTACATTCTTATACTGTAGAATAAATGATTGCTTTGTTCTGCAGTATTTTCATTACTGCACATTCTTTACCTTTACAAGAGAGAAACTGCACTTAATTACCTTTGTCACTGACATACTTGTGTTTGCATTGTTGTGTTGTATTTTGAAAGGTCAGCGGTCTGGGGGCGGCTGTGGCTTAGGAGGTAGAGCGGGTTGTTTGTGTGTGTGAGTGTGTGTGAGTGTTTGTGAGTGCGAATGGGTGAATGGCCAAGTAGTGTGAAAGCGCTTTGAGTGTGCTGTAAAGTGTAGAAAGGACTATACAAGTTACCATTTACCTTTCTGCAGCCCTCAACACTCCCTCAGGCAGTGCAGAATTGCTGTACTCTATTGTCATGTCTTGAGTGGTGTAGTTGAAACACTTGAGGTGCTATCGGTCTTTGTTAGCTTATAAAATTATTCCTTTTTACTGTTGGCCTTCACTAAACAGCATCACACTGTCAAATATGCAAAAGTCACATATAACTTAGCAGAGTAAATGCAAAAAGGATGCTTAAGAGTTACGATGGATTTTACTTTGCCTGACTTAAAATGAGCCCTGGACTCAAACCAGATGCTGTGTTTCCTTATTCACAGTGAATTTGGCATTTTAACAAATCTGAATCTCTCATCAAGGAAATAATTCCCCCTGCCATTGCAATAAAATGTTGTCCTGGCTTCAGTACCTTAAGGCAGAGAAGCAGAGATGTGATAAAACTGATTCTTTACTCAGTCATGGTCCTAGGGGGCCAAACCTAGAAAAGATGCTATCTAATGTTTAATTTATTTTTCTGAAAAGTTTCAACTTAACCTAATCGAAGTAGTGCTGGGTAAAACTGAGCCAGGAGAGTAAAAGCTGAATGATGACCTGTAGGTGTTTCCTCAGTCAGTTCACTCAAACAGCGTTGTTCCCTGTGTGGGTGAGTTGGTGTTTAGTAAAATTTAGATGGTATCTTTCAAATCCCACCTGTGTATCACCATAGTTGTCTCTTTAAAGTGGAGCTGGATTTCAGCGATTATGGCTGAATGTTTCTTAGGGAACCAACAGGCAGATATCTCAGTACCCAACCACTCGATAGAGGGATTAATATGCCAGATTCTTAGAAAAAGTACTACATGGAAATCTTGGTACTCTTTAGTAACCAGGCCAAGGACTTGTTCATGTGTCGATGTTGGTGTAATGTTCTTGAGCATAAAGTAGCAATACATCAGTGTAAGAATCAAATCAAATCAAATCAAATTTTATTTGTATAGCGCCAAATCACAACAAAAGTCATCTCAGGACACTTTATAAAGTAAGGTCTAGACCTTACTGTTATCAATATTATTACATAGGGAAAACCCAACAAATCCCCCTTGAGCAAGCACTTGGCGACAGTGGGGAGGAAAAACTCCCGTTAACGGAAGAAACCTCCGACAGACCCCGGCTCTTGGATCAAACACTGATCAGGTCGATGTGGCTGGGGACTGCTCGTCAGAGACGTAGAGCTCCAGGGCCAGGGCAACCTGCAGAAAGGTACAGGGAGAGAGAGAGGACACACTACGGGAGAGAGGAGACACAAAGTTAGTAATGTGTAATGGTGGCATATAGAAGCATAGGGAGAGGAGAGAGGAGAGGAGAGGAGAGGAACACTGAGCATCATGAGGCCCCCCAGCAGGCTAGGCCTATAGCAGCATTACTAAGGGAAGGCTCAGAGTCACCTGATCCAGCCCTAACTATAAGCTTTATCAAAAAGGAACGTCTTAAGACTAATCTTAAAGGTAGAGAGGGTGTCCGCCTCCCGAACTGAGACTGGGAGTTGGTTCCATAGGAGAGGAGCTTGATAGCTAATAACCTCTCATTCTGCTTCTGTGGACTCGAGGAACTCAGCTGCTCTCTCTCTTTAGAGCAGTTGTACATTGTTTTTGAAGGGTATAGTGGTTGGTATTATTGAAGCCTTACCTTGTTTGTTGGTGTTTCAGGACTGGCAGAGTTCGCCTCCCGAAAATAAAAAG